CAAGAGAGATGACCACAGAGACAACCGGGCATCAGCTCAGAAGGCCAATGAGGAAGCCCCCCCCCCCGACCATAGGACAAAGGCCCCCCATGAACCATGTTCTGTATGTTGCTGGCAACTCTTTTTTTCCCCACATAGGTGTCAACTTGTAAATTACAGCAGTCACAAAAATAAACTTTGTTAATAACACCCGAAAAGAATGTCACAAATTTCTTTAGAATAAAAATAAATAAATCAACGGGGCAGCTTGGGGGTTAACACCTGCTTTAAGAGGGTTTCGATATGAATGGTAGGGGACACTATGTAGTGTTTTTTTGTTATCCATGCTGTTGACACATCATTTCTAGGCCTAAACTGATGTTAAGATTATGAATTTTTCAAACGTCCATTGGCAATAATAATTATATTGTTCCTTTTTCTTCTTTCAATGAAATGGGAAAAAATTAAAAAAAACAATAAACAAGTAGTCAAATTTTCATATATTCACATTTCAACGTGCAGATACATTTTTCTACGATATGTTGTCATCACGGGACCCAGGCTGCAATATCCTTAGAGTCACAACATGCTGCACTGCTTTCCTAAACCAGGGGTAGAAAAGTGCATAGATCACAGGGTTTAGAGTGGAGTTAAAATAGAAAAGGAAAAGAACATAAAATGCATTTGAGCCGCTGAACAGATCGTCCCCTACAAGCGAAACACAGTAATATGGGACGAAACATATCAGAAACACAACCACCAGGACGCCCAGAGTCCTGGCTGCTTTTAACTCAGATTTCCTCACTGAAAGCTGCAGGTTTACAGCCGTAACGTGAGAGCGCACGGCCCGAGCCTGCGACACAGCCACCACGAACACTCTCATATACAGGACTACGATGACAGTAACTGGAAGTATAAAGCTCACAACGATGTCAATGGTTCCTGGAATATAGTCTATATTAATCTGGCATTCTCCCTGGCAGGAATTATATCTCCCTGGTTTTTTAAAGTCATCTATTACAAGGAGGGTGCCAAAGCAAACCGAGCAGAACCAACACAGACAGACACAAAATTTGACCCTGTTTTCAT